TCATTTCTGTAAGCCGACATGTAGGTCTCTATCACAGCTTTAATCTTGATGTCGTCAGGTTCTTCGCACTATAAACGACTCCTACAACTGGAAGCCAAATGGATATTCCAGTTGGAGGCCACAAAATCGCCTGGTTTTAATGAAACTTTCAGTTTCAAGCCATTTCTTTGAAGATTTTGTGTGGCCCCCACTCCTGTTCTTGTTTCCTTTATCTTTTATTTATTGTTTTTCTTTCTTTTGTATATATTTTGTAATATTTTGTATATATTTGCACATACCTGCTTTATTTGTGTATACCATTGGTTGTGTTAGAAAAGTGTAAAAGTCTAATTGTTAATCATTGTTGCTGCTATGATACGTTTCACAGTAACAGAATATTGCTACATTGTCAAATAATCATTGAAAGTTTATATTCTGTGGCTGTTTGTTTAACTAGTCCTTTTTGTAACCGCTTTTTGGTGGACACCTTTGTTTACATATTTTTATTTTGTTAGTTGTGTTTGGTTACTGGACCACACATACTTATATTGAAGCGGATATCTAGAATACTTGCAACCTCCTTTTTTATTTTTATTTAGTCTGGCTGTTTGTTTAAATCTGGGGGCTGTGACCAGGGACTGAGGGGAGGTTTGTAATTCTGGGCATCTTGGTTGGGCCTGCTCGATTGCCTGGGGTGAATTAGGGATGTGTGAGTCCCTCTCCCTCCTGTCGCTTGGCATAGGCTAGTGTGCTGTACTAAGGAGTCCTATTGCATTATATATTGCATCGCTGACGTTGGCTATTCAGCTTTGTTTCTGTAATGGGACAGTGCTGACATACTTCTGAATATGGTTGTTTTTGTAGTGGGACAGTGATGATGTGCCTTCTAGTGTGGCTGTAGCCCTGTGTGAGATATGCTGCCACCCTGTGTTCTATAGGTAGTATTGTGCATCGGAGACTAACTTGATTCTTGATCAGCCTGCTGTTGAGTGATGGGGTGGACTCTTGGCGGGGCGGGGGTGTAACGATTATGCGCAGTAGCGATATGGAAGCTGTATGCGACCTCCATCTTGTTAAAGTCTCAGCCATGTTGTTTTTCATGAACAATCAACTCTCCTCCCTCCTCTTAAAAATGGAACTTGTGGCTATAAGTTGTAACAACTTCAGAAGAGCCTCTTATCTTAAATAAAACACAAATAGATGAACTCCAGAGCTGTAAACTGCTAATTAGTCTTGTGCAGGATGTCTGTTTTTCAAGAACTAGGAAAAACCATTTTCCTCTGTCCTATCGTAAAACAATAACTCAGTCAGCCGTCACACATGACCTGTTAGGCATTAGGGCTCTAGGAATGCAGAGCGTGCCATAAAACATCTATTCCACATGTCACAACTCATAAAATTCAACAGGAACTGGGCACATTTATATTAGGTATATATTTGGATAGATCATTTCATGTTGAGCCAGGCAAGGTCATACAATGACTATGTTGGCACATAGGAGAGAGGAGAAAGCAGTCTCTTCCCTCCTGGGTGACAAGGGTACGCTGTGTTTGGTATCCCTGGGTTTTAAATATAATTCTGAATATTAATCTGCCAGTTGATAGAATGCCACCTGCATGTATTGGAAGTTATTGATATCAGTATTAAATTGTAGTGTGACTCATGTCACTGTGGTCATAAACTTGGTGGCCTCCTAGAATCCATCCCCAAACTAGATGATTGGTCAGTTGTTCTCAGGCGCGACATCCCTTTAATACCATAGAAAAGAACTGATAGGCCTGGAGAAGGGAAGCTGTCATTTAACATCAATCAAGAAACATCTAACGGACTTGAGAGCCAAAGCAACCCTTTTGCTCGGAAATTGGACTTTGCTAAAACCAGGACTTTGCAAGTATTCTGCCTTCTTAACTCCTTTCTTTTATTTCTCTGTTGTTTTATTGTTTTATTTATGTCTTTGTAACATCTTTTTCTGTAAATATTTTAATTGCACCATTTTGACCTTTTTTTGTAATAAACCCTATTTTGAAAAGTGTTGAAACTATCTCTAAAGCTTTTTTAATGCAAACTAAAGAATCCCTGTCTCTTGAAGATTGCTACTGTGTGTAATAATCCTCTGAATATACTTGTCTGTGGTGACAATGTGTATTACAAATGCTTATGCTAGAATCATAGTTTTATTGCTAGGATTTGTGAGTTTCCTCCTTCTCTGTAAAAAGGTGGTGGTGGCAGTGTGAAGGGGTAATTGCGCAATTAATCTAACCCAACAGCAATCGCTCTCAGGCTGCTGGCACAAAGATTGTAGTCCCACGAGCTGGAAAATCTTTGTGCAGGGTGCAGCTGAGAGTGGGAGGACTGTTGATATGCCCTTCCCTGGTTGCCGCCTCTTTGAGGCTGGCCTGCCCCTGTTTCTCTTACTGGCTGCCACTATGTGGGTGGATTGGTGGGCAGTTACCTGGATGGGGCCAGCATCCTGGATGTGGCTTGATCATATCCCCCGCCCCGGCGCGCATGCGCGTTGGCCAGGTGATCACTGACGTCACGACGTGTCGCTGCATTTGGCACATGTGCGGTGGCTTATTTACATTGTGGCGGGCGTACTTGGTCGTGGCACATGCGGTGTGGCACATTCTCTCACGTCGGCTGCATCCGGCGTGGGTATGCCGCATTTTGTTGTTGTTTCTTGATGAGGGGACGGGAGGGATATCTATTCCACCTACATAGGCACTGTGGTTTGTGATGCTTTTATTGTTACATGACTCTACTTGAAGCAAAGGGGAGCTAATAAAGACTGAGGTAGGTACCATGGTGCACTATGCTCTGTTGAGGGCGGATTTCTTTAGTGGCCTATTACCAATATTTACAAGTGATTTTTGTATTTTTATGACTCTCACAAATAGGTCTCCTGGACAATTGACAGTTACACCTCTTTCAAGGAGCTAGCATGTGTGGCCATAAGTGAATCTTGTTTGGGCTTATCAGTATCTTGCTGTCGGGGAATTTTCATTCAATGAGATTTAATTCTTCTGACTATTACATCTGGGAGAGTCATATTTCCTCCTTTGATTGATTGGACATCTGTTTCAGCAGCACCATCTCCCTTTCCAGGTATTATATTTTTTTGTATGTCATGAAGGTTTTTTTGAGCTATGGCACTTATTTATGAGCAAATGGGGCATGTATGGGCATGTATATGCTCAATCAGTCCTTCAATTGTTACCATTATGTGGTAGTATTTAGTCTTTTTACATACATTTTTTAGGAAAACATTTTCAGCTGGAGTCATCTCTTTGCAACCTGGTATGGACTGAACTGGGTGTCCAGTGCTCCTCTCTCATCTTTCTGGTTCCTTTCCTTGTGGGTTACCTACACTGGGCAGAAAGCCACCAGTATAGGTAATTTGTTGTTACATTGATGTCTTTCAAAGCTCACTGGAGTACCAGGCTGGTCCTGGCTCTCAGCCATGCACTAAAAGGCCAAGCTACCTTTCAATCAAGCAGCCATGTGGATCTCAACAATATTGTGAATGAGAATCCCTCCCAAACATGGAGCTGTTCTACCTCGTCAGCTGATAGTTGGCAATAGCCCGCTATCAGCTGACTCTGGGTCACAGGAGTCAGGCCCGCACAGCAGGAGGTAAGCAGCGACCATGGCCTGGACAGAGCTAACACAAACAATGGCCGCCACTCACCTCCTGATGTGCAGCTATGCCTAAAGCAGAGCCAACGGGAGGAGCGGCAGTGAGGACTCATGTGAAGAGCAGGGTGTAGCCGCCGAGGACACACAGGCACCTCTACGGCCATCCGCTGCACACAGCTGCACTGAAGGGACAAAGGTGGCCTCTTTCCTTCACTGGCAGGCACACTGTGACAGGTCTGTAGTGGCGGTGGATGTGGCTGTCTCTTTGCTGGATGATCTGTCTCTTTGCTGGATGGGCTGTCTCTTTGCTGGTTGAGCTGTCTCTTTGCTGAACTGGGCTGTCTCTTTGCTCAGTTGGGTCCAGCAAAGAGACAGTCCAGTCCAAAAAGGGACATCCCCATTCAGCGAAGAGACATTCCTGTCCAGCAAAGAGGCATCCCGTCTCTTTGTGGATTGGGATGTCTCTTTGCTGGATGGGGATGTCTCTGTACTGGATTGGGCCATGTCTTTGAATATATAGGGGGACTTTAATTAGATTTCTAGGGGCACTGTGATATAAAGGGGACTGCACTGTAAAGGGGCACTGTAATCAATACAGTGCCCCTTTACAGTGCAGTTCCTTTATATTACAGTGCGGAGGACCGACTCTGTGAATATTCCAAATGCCCCCGTGAATACCCTTGCACCCCCCCACTCCAGAAATTGACTGTTCAGTCTAAAATGCCCGGGTCTATTTTTTGTCCCACTCCGGGCCTGACAGGAGTACATGTTCTTCAGTGACCCAAAAGATAAGTACAACTAAAAAAGGTTTGGCCATACTTCACATTTAAAGCTTTGTAAATATGAACATACTGTATATTATGTATATATGTTCTCTCATTTGGCTATGAATAACGTTGACAACCTGACAGATGGAATTTGACACAGTATAGACTACCACACCCTTTGTCTGACTCATGTTAATGAATGGGAAATATGGACTGTTGTTTTTTTTTCTTGTGTTGCATGCTACTGTGCCCAGTACACGGAGTGTCTCTATTGTCTCTAAAGTCCTCAGCATGACAACAAACACATGGGCTTATTAAATAGAATGAACATTTTGTAAATTTAAAGCGGAGTTCCAGTTAAATTAGAAAAAAAAAATGTAGTTGCTGACTTTTAAAATACAGACACTTATCTGTCCCTCGGTGCAGCAGTGTCCTCACCACAGCTGGTTTCACCGGCCGTCTGCTCTCCCCGGCATCTTCATTGTGGGTACCCAGTTCTGACAGCTTGCGGCTTCACAGCCGAGTGCCCACTGCGCATGTAGCTCTGAGCTTTGTGAATGGTCCCGTAGTCTTCTGGGACCTGTTACGTATCCCAGAAGACTACAGGGAGAGAGGGGGGGGAGGACAACTTCCACTTCCGATCACCGTAGGCGATTGCACTAGAAGTGGGAGCGGGTACCTGTCAAATTCGGGTACCCACTCCCCAAAGGTGCCATTCCTTAACGGGGAGCGGGGGACAAAGCCTTAAAGCGGAACTTCCCCTTTTGGGTGGAGCTCCACTTTAAAGTTGAACTCCTGGCACAAAAACCTTGTTTTAAATATATTCTTCTTTTACAAAAAGTTTTATTGTAGATGAAGCAGAGATAAACAAACATTCGGATCACAGATTCAGTGACCATCAAATATAAATTGTACTGGATAAATGGAAACCAATTTAAATCATACATTGATAAAGGCATAAGTTGAAAAAAAAAATTTACATAGGTGCTTCATAAAAACAAGGATAAGGGAAAGAGTTGGTGAGGAACTATTAGCGAACCTTTGTGGGTCAATAATAATGTAAGTTCAAAAGAAAGTTTTGCTGCATCAACATTATGCAAAACAGGACAGGCACGAAGAGAGACCTTTCCAAGAAGTGAGACCTGTTCCAAACCTTAGGTACATAAAAGAAGTCTGGGGTACATAGATAGTACTGCAGATGTAGCACATAAAACAGGAAACTCAATCCGTAAAATATGATTAAGAACAGCTTGGAAAGGAGATTAGAAAAGGACAAACAGTAGAGAGACAAGGACAACAACAACAACGAAAAAAAAAAAAAACGAGAGGGGCTCCTAGGCGATCACGGCAGAATCCATCCTCATATCGATAGAAGGGACTGGTCGAATCACGAAGGTTGAGCTATATCCAGCCAGGGACACCATACTTGCAAAAAGTTTGTATGGGTATCCAACAATATGGCCGTCAATTTTTCATTGACCATTATGAAATTCATCCGGTTTTTGACAGCTTCAAAACTAAGAAGAGGAGTTTTCCAAGCTCTCGCAATTGTCAACTTCGTTGCCACAAATAAGTGTGATGCCAGCTGCCATTCAGAACGGAGAAGGCCCTCCAATGGCTTAAATAAAAGCGCTTCATACGGATTACGCTTAATGTCTGCGTGAAGCATAGTGCGAAGGAGGGCATACACCCTAATCCATAATCTGTTCACTTTGGGGCAAGTCCACCAGATGTGGGCCATGGTGCCCAATTGTTGGCATCCCCGAAAACAAACCGGGGAATATGTAGGTATAAAAGTAGCTAGACGGGCAGGCATATAGTACCATCGGTAAAGAATTTTATAGGCATTTTCAAGGATAAGGACATTCCTGGAACACTTTAGATAGTGCTTGGGTCATGGTCTGCCAATCCTGTTGGTCCAAAGTCCCCCCTAATTCAGACTGCCAACGCTGATGATAGGAACCAACCGGAGGTGTTCCATAAGATATAATGGAAGAGTAAATCAAAGAGTGCAAACCCGGGGCATGAGGTCTATGTCTGCACTGACTTTCAAAGGGGGACAAACGATAAGGTCCCAGATGCGTGCGTATTAATGTATTAATAAAGTGGCAAAGTTGGAGGTAACCAAAGTGTTCTCGCAGAGGAATGTTATAAGAAGATCGCAAAGTTTCAAAGGTAATTATTCTAGTGGGAGATAGGAGCGAGTGAACATCATAAAAACCATGTGTCTGCCACCAGGCAAACTGTTTGGGATTGTCCTTACCCAGAGGAAATAATGGGTTATGCAATAGACGTAACAGCGGCAGGTGAGGAGAAATGAGGCCAGCGGAATATTTAATAGAATCCCAAAGACGTAGCAAAAGCGTCAGCGTCGGGCTAAGGGTAGATGGACGCTGAGAAATAGGAAGCCATGGCAAAGAAGAGAGCGGTATCGGGTGGGAGTCCATCATATCCACCACAGCCCACAGGGGGAAATGGTGGGATGAATGAACATGAGCTAGGGGGGCAATGTTAGCCGCCAAATAGTAAGACTGGAGATTTGGAACCGACAACCCTCCCATACTCCGTCGTGCAAATAGGATATGTTTGCTAATTCTGGGTCGAGAAGAACCCCAAATAAAGGACAAAAGTTTTTGCTGATGGATACGCAATACACGTGAAGGTACTGGAACCGGCAAAACACAAAATAGGTACAATAGTTTTGGAAGATAGGTCATACAGATCGCATTAATTCTGCCAAACCAAGAAAGTGGGAAATGAGACCAGGAGGACAAAAGCTCAGTCAGCTCATGAAAGACAGCGGGAAAATTAGCCAGATACAGTCCGTCATATGTCGGGGTAAGCTTAATTCCTAAATATGGCAAGGCCGAAAGCCATTGAAAAGGGAATGTTTGTTTCAAAGTAGTCAAGAGTGATGGTGGAATGGTGACTGACATAGCTCTGGATTTAGCAGGGTTGACATGTAAGTCCGAAAGGATCGCAAAGGAATCGAGAACTGCGAGCAAATTGGGCAAAGTAACCCTCGGGTTCGAAATTGACAACAGTATGTCGTCTGCAAACAAAGACAATTTATGGTGAGAGCCCGCCACCTCAACCCCCTTAATATCAGGATGTATATGAATGGCTTCTGCCAACGGTTCCAAGGCTAAAATAAAAAGCAAAGGGGAAAGCGGGCAGCCTTGTCTAGTGCCTCTGGCAACCGAAAATTTAGAGGACTCAAATCCATAGTATCTAAGCTTCGCTTGGGGTAATGTGTATAGCGAAGAGATCCACGTAGGAACGAAGGACCAAAGTGATGAAGGACCGATAGAAGGTATGGCCAAGATAGAGTGTCGAAGGCCTTGTTGATGTCTAAGGATAAGAGCATCATATCGAGTTTACGAGTATGGGCCAAATGTTGCAATTGTAAAATACGTCTGATAGCATCTCCGGCCTGCCTATGGGGAACAAATCCCACCTGGTCCTTTTTGATCAGGCGAGAAAGGAAGGAGTTCAATCGAATAGCCAAAATCTTAGTAAGAATTTTCATGTCAATATTGATAAGAGAAATAGGCCTATAATTTGCCCAGGAAGAGTGATCTCGATCTGGTTTAGGGATCATAACCACATTAGCAGTTAAAGCATCCGGGGAAAAATTCGAACCTCCCTTCACTGCGTTAAACATAGCGGCAAGGTGAGGAGCAAGAACATCAGCCAGTTTCTTATAGTATAGTGCCGTGTATCCATCAGGACCTGGGCGCTTGCCCGTTTTCAGGTCTGCTATGCAATGCAAAACCTCAGATACTTGAATATTACGGTCCATCAAATCCCTATGAGCCGACATCAAAGTAGGCAGGGGCAGACGGGATAAAAAGTCGGAAATGGACTGAGGATCAGCCGGGTAGGATCAGAGTAAAGTTTAGCTAGTCGATACCGGAACTCCTCCAAAACCGCTACAGGATTGCTCGTAAGGGTATTGTGACGAGTACGTAAAGATATCGGTTTAGGACGCTGCGCAAAAGAACATAATCTACGGGCCAACATAGAGTCCGGTTTGTTTCCTTTACTATACCATTTCTGGCGAGTCCAACGTAAGGAGCGCTCAGCCTCATCCGTTAAGCAAACATCCAATTCCAAACGAGCCTGATCCAATAGTCTACGGTTCGACGGGGAAGGTCAATGTTTAAATTGGGTTGACGCGGAGGCTAGCTTCGATTCCAAATGACGCTGTTTAAAACTGTCTGTCCTTCTTTCGCCTTGAAGCTATTTGGATAATATGTCCCCTAAGAACTGCCTTGTACGCTTCCCAAACTGTTACTGAAGAAGAGACAGAACCCGAGTTTAATTGGAAATATTCCTGAGACTTACGTTGTAGTTCTGCATGAATCTCCTTCAGCGAAAGCAAAGAGTCATTCATTATCCATGAAGAGAAGGCCGACCTACATAGGAGAGATCGACAGACCACCAAAATAGGATCATGATCTGACCATGGGACCGTTATAATAGAAATAGAGCGAACTAAAGGGAGGTGTTTACGTGAAACGAAGGCATGATCAATTCTGAAGTGAGAATGATGAGGGTGTGAATAGTGAGTGTAGTCTTTCCCCCGAGGATGACATTCACGCCATAAGTCTACTAAATCATGGGTATCTAACGCACATACAAAGGACTTCGCTGACGCGGAAGGGTCAGAACGCTCCGCTGGATATTTATCCAATGCAGGATTTAGTACTAAATTCGAATCCCCTGCCATCAAAAGCGTACCCCGTTGATGTGTGGCCAAGAGTGAACATAAATGCGACAGAAAAGGTCCAGGGTTAACATTGGGAGCCCAATAGGACAGTATGGTAACATCTATGCCATGAATTGTGCCCTGAAGCAGAAGGTATCTGCCATTGGATCAGCAATACGCCTCACACAGACAAATGGAGTTTTACTATGAAACCAAAACACCTCTCTGTTTAGTAGGGCCTTTAGCCTGAAATATCTGAGGGTAACACGCATCAAAATATTTTGGGGCGGAAGTAGTGGAGAAATGGGTTTCTTGCAAACATGCAATGTCAACTTGACGAGCCCCGAGAAATTTAAATATCTTTACCTGTTTCTGCGGGGAGTTCATCCCCTGAACATTCAATGATCACCAGTTCAATGACATGGCGATCTAAAAGGAGGAAGATCAAATGCACCGTGATCCCCGGGAGCCCTGAAAAAAAAATTACCAAAACACAAAGCACACATAACAAAAGACAAGGAGAAAGAAACAAAAAAGAAAGAAGGCCAGAAGACATCTGATATACAGGCAAGATATCTTTGAAGCATTGAAATTGATTTAAACATTATAATAATCAACTGTGGGTAAAACACCCACATAGAGGCTAGGTAGCGGGCGGGACAAAAAAAAAAAAATACCAGACCGCTAGCCAGCTCGGAGGGGGACACGATCGTCCACCGGAACAACTCGGCAATAGTATAAAATATAAAAACCATTATACAAACATCTTAGGCTAATACACCTACAAATGAGCAATGCGAAACTCGCAGGGCTATGGATATCTCAACCAATCAGTGCGGAGAAAACCAACATCCACTCTGGATTGGAAGAGACAAAACACCCAAAGGTATGAAATCCCTGAGCAAATCCAGAGTCAAATCTAGAAAGTGGCAGCAAAGATACGCACGTGAAGAAGCTATAAATTGGCGGCCAGCAAGTAAACATCAAGTCACGGAAGCATCCAGAAA